CACCCACTTTGTCTTCAGCGGTTGTGTCGGGAAGATGAGCATCATAGAATGCCAGTTTAATAGAACCCACCTCCTTCTCAACGATATGTTTTTGTTGTTGTTTTGGGTCTTCTAGTATCTGTTACCTGATTCTGTTGACAAGTCTTGATCACACAGGCTGGTGTTGCTTCTTCCATGTGGGCTTGTTGCTTCTCTGCTAGATGGCTGCTTGTTTTAATTTCAAACCTTTAAGACCCCAGATGCTATATCTTTTGATAGGCAGGCACCATCAGCTTTCTTCGCCCCATTTGCTTTTGCACCCATGTTGTTTTCAGCAATGTGTCAGGAGGGTGAGCATCACAGAAGGCCAGGTTGTTAGAACAAAGTGTTCTTGCATTGAGGGAGGGCTTGAACAGAGGCCTGAAGTCCATCACTACCTCAGTGTATTGCCATATAGATATATGTACATAGGCCAATGCCTCTATTTTTATTAATTAATGTATTTACATATGTACACACATATGCTTATACCTCTATCCATAGCTTTGCTTCATAGATCTTTTCTGTTTCCTTTTACCTTCCTCCTGCCCCACCATCACACTCGCCCTTCTTCTGCCTCTTAGTGATTCCTCTCAACTAGATTGCTCTTGCTTCAACACCACCAGAATTTCTACATCTTCCTCGTTGTTGCTCTTAATTCCCTAGTTGTTCCCCTGCCTATGCTGTTGTTTGCTCACTGCTCCTTCCCCCCACCTCCTCCCCCCAAGTCCCTCTGGAACTGTAGGTCCCATTGCTTTCTCCTCAGGCTTGCTTCCTGTGGCTTTCTTATATTGGTATGCAAAACACCAATAACAAAGAGAAAACAAAAGGTCAAATAAAAAGATAAAAAAAAACCAAAAAAAAGGAAACTAGCAAAAACAAACAAAAAACAAAAAAGCATACATAATTCCAGGTCTGTCTGCTGACCTTTATGACTAACTCCTCACTGATCCTGGGGGTTCCAGGAATTGCCACTTCTGGCCTGAAGTCCATTTTGTGGGCTCCTCAGCGGTTTTGTGGCTTTGCTGTGCTCCTGTTGCTGATGTGTTACATACCTTCTTGGTATAAGACATCATTTTTTAAATATGAAGATGGTATCCCAGTTTTTATTTGTATTCTTGTGGCTACTTAAATGTTTGATTATCTCTGTGTTTAGAAGTCATTTGTACTTTCTCATCTGAGGTGTGCCTAATTATTTCTTTTACTTTTTCTTTGGTGCATTTTGCTTTTCATGATTGATTTATATATTCTATTTGTGTGGTTTTTGTATAATTTTATGATGCCTTAGTAATGCGCTCAAAGTTGATAGTGGTGTATTGACTTGGACGGATCCTGTCTTACTGTGTTCTCTCCTGTCTGCAAATTGGATGTCTCTTTTTGCAGGGCTCAATGGAGGTTATCAGGATGAGCTGGTAGACCACCGTCTGACAGAAAGAGAGTGGGCTGAAGAATGGAAACACCTCGATCATGTAAGGTCTTCAAATGCACAAGTTTCCCCAGCTGTAGACTTTTCAGTCTTACATGACTAAGAGCTGGTGAAATGTGTGCTTGCTTGAAGTGGCCATATGTGAAGACTGTGCTGTCTTCAGATAAAAGACCCCAGAGTTGCTATTTCTATACATAGGAATAACCCTCTCCTTGTAAAGTCAGGTTCCCAACTTGTTCAAATTGAATGGCTTTCATCTTTAAGGAACTTTTCCCCTGAGTTTTGTCCCCATGCAGGTAGAGACTGTCTTGAGGCAAACCTCGCAAAACTTGGATGGCAGTGCTAGGCCAGCATGTCATTCAGTAAATTCTAGTAAATACTTCAGTTCACTCCCTCGGTACTTCAGTTACAGACCTAAAGAGTCGCTTCCAACTCTGACTGCCTCAGACTACGAACAAAAACATGTTTGTGTAGTATGATGGTTAAGAGCATAGCTCTGAGGGCGCAAGTAGAAAGAAAATGCTTTGAAAGTGACGATGGCAGCATATGTACAAACGTGCTTGACACAATGGATCAATGTATGGATTGTGATAAGAGATGTAAGAGCTCCCAGTAAAAGTATTTAGTTTAAAAAAAAAAGAACATAGCTTTGGGAGCTCTTGTCTCAGCTTTGTGTCTTTATTTTTTAAGCTAGGAGAGTTTTTTGTAAAGTTGCTTCACCTTTAGCCTTAGTTTGCATAGCTTTGTCCCAAAATTTTTTTTTATGAATGCTGCATTAATTGGATTGGCTTGTAAGGTTTCAGTTAATGTATAAGATGCTTATCACGGCAACAAATGTACAAATGTGCTTGACACGATGGATGGATTGTGATAAGAGTTGTACGAGCCCCCAATAAAACAATTTTTAAAAAGGATGCTTTTCACATGTGGTCTATGAGAAGCTTTCGATAAAAGCAGCTGTGAATATACGTCTCCAGCGTTAGGCTGCCTTGGGAGTGTGAAGGCAAAAGTGTAATTTGGTTTCACCGTGATTTTTAAAGGATCACATGGAGAAGCAATGGCTGCTTTATCCTGGAAGAATCAAATCGCATCTATGCTTTATTTACCAAAACTTGATTTTTAATATCCTTACCTCCTCTCGGCCTTCCTTTCCCTGGCTCGCTCAGGCCCTGAACTGCATTATGGAGATGGTAGAGAAGACCCGGCGATCGATGGCAGTTCTGCGGCGCTGTCAGGAATCTGATCGCGAAGAACTCAACTACTGGAAACGGAGATGCAGTGAGAACACAGAGCTGAGGAAAACAGGGAGCGAACTGGTCTCCAGGCAGCACAGCCCCGGGAATGCGGATTCTCTTGGTGGCAATGGTAAGGGCAGAGTCCGAAGGGAACCCAGAATGAAACGCCAACCACTGGACTCCGCCTGGGATGGGAGGCTCAGTATTAACACACTTTCAAGGGAAGATAGTGCAGGGTGTGGAGTCTGGAAGAGTCCAGTGAGTGTGAGGCACCCAGGACCCATACCTGACATGTTTGTCAGCTGTTCCTTCTTCCTTGTGGAGAACTAGAATTGTTGTGATTTGATTCTGCTTCTAACTCTCTTGATGATGTGCTAGGTGATGACTGACAAAAGTTTGCTGGGGAAATCCCACCTGCCCCAAGCTGCTTTCGTGTCCGTCACTGGAAACATTGATCTCCTTCCTCCCACCCACCTCCCACATTCATGAACATTCCATGTATGGCCCATTGGCAGACAGTCTCCTACCAAAGACATTTCTGTACCAAACTATGTTATTAGACACACTTGTCTTGTCGTGCCTTTCCCAGGCTGACGCAGCAAAAGCATGAGCAGCGCTTCTCTCAGTCTAGGATATGTGCAGAACACCACAACCATTTTCTAGGAAAAGAGTACATGTTTCAGCCAGTGACAGCGGAGTGAGGGTCCTCTGATCAGGCTCCCTCCCCGCAAGTTCCCCCTTTAAGGATGAGCAGATCGCTTCCCATGGCAGACCCAGCCCTCAGAAGTCAGCTATTCGTCTCAAAAAGATGTGGAGGCGATTGAGGCAAAGCAAGAATGAATGTAGCCTGTCCCAATGTTGGAAACCAGGGAACCCCACCACCTACCCCACCCACAGAGGTGACTCTTGACCCAACCATAGATTAGCACCATCGCATAGGAATATCTAGTACCAGGAAGGCATCAGAGAGCGTCATCTATTCATAGGAACGTAAAGACAGAGCTGATTAATTCACCGGTATTCTCACCATGGGAAGCCTCCCAGGTGTGCAGTAAATTTGAATACTTACGTGAAACTACCAGAAGTTTCTCCCAGTCATCAGCTGTCCGTCACTGAGACTGCACGTGTGCAGGAGGGCTTGAGTAAAACGTAAGAGTGAACTACGCAGTCAGGGACTGGTTGTCTTCAGGCGATGTGCAGATCTTATTAGCAGTGTTTAAACTGCCTGTGCAATTCCATAGTTTGCCCTTCTTGGTCTTTATTTGAAGGTTTAACTGGAGTGACCTTAGGGAACCCTAAAACTGGACAGGCTCAATTTATGCCAGTTTCCTGTCAGTATTCTTAAAAGCACTTCCCTAGGTTTTTAGAACTGGAGCACAATTTAGGTGATAAATTAAATTGTTACTCTGGGTTTAGCTCTTCATGGATCCCAGTTTTTTCTTCTGTTTCTTTCCTCTCTGATACATGGGCATTGTGGTGCAGAAGAAAAACTTAATTCATATCCAAGCAACTGGTGTGTTTGGAATGTGGTCCCAAAGAGCCCATCAAGCTGCTTGCCAGTATTCTGTGAGGTGTGCGCAGCTAGCAGCAGGTGGTACTGGATGCTGTCAACAGGCTTTCTGAAGGAAACCTACTGAACCAAGCAGTGTGGTCAGAGATCGAACTGTTTATTTTGGCTCAAGTTTCTTTGCTCTTCTTCAGTCAGTAGCAAGCAGTTTGCAATCCAGCATTTTGAGTAGTGCTATCCTGTGGTAGGCAGTATTTATGGGCATACCACACAGAAATATGTGCTCCCTGGTGCGCTTTCGATCATTGGATAGTTTATGTATTGAACGTTTTGCCTTAAGCAGAAACCTTGGTGGGTTGTTATGTATTATATTTTCCCCAGGAGTGTGGGCAGGTGTGTAACATGCACAGGGGTTGTTGTTGGGGAGGGGAGGGGGTAGAGTATAATGAACACATATGCCTGCATTACTTGCCTAAAAGTATGGTGTGTGTTGAGCCGTGTTACAGTGATGTGGAGGAAAATTTAAATAATGGAAGTTTCCCTCATCTGGAAATGTGTGGTCACATTAATTTCGGAAACAAATTTTGTTCCTGGAGCGTTTTGTGATTTTATTAGTGTTGCTAAATTGCTCAAACCACAAAGTAAAAAGCTAGTTATCACAGACATCCTGAGAGTAACTTTGGGGGTGGGGTGGGAGGAAGGCAGGGGTGGGTGGAGTAGTGCAGAGTATGTTCTGATCGCCATCGACTGTGTTCTGGGTAAGTCTGCAGTCTTGTGAGCATCGCACCTGAGGCGTCTAGAGGCTTGGTGGCTGTTTAATTTTAGAATTTTTCATTAAGTTGTAAGTTCACTTTTTATGAACTTCTAATGATTTAATATTTCACAGTTGAAGCTTACAAATGAGAAAGGAAAACTATCTCCACTATTATTATTTCCACGTTTTTCTTGATCATAGGAGTCCACCGGGGCGACCTAAAGAAAAAGAGTGGCCAGTGCACTGATGATCCAAAAGCAAACTTTGTTTCCAAAGCACAGCTTTTTATATTAACGAGGCAAGCGTACATAGCTTGCATAGTGTAACAGTAACATCGTGATAAAATCGCTCTAAGCACAAACAATTCCTTGGGACTAATCTTATCTAAACAAATGCTGCTGTGTTCTGTGTCCACAGGGCATCTTGGAATATGGGAAAACACATGACCAATGTCCCAACGTTCTGGGTTACACAGTGTCCCCAAACACCCCTGAGAGTCACCAGTAAAACTCAGTGACTCTCTATAGTCACCTAAAGCATGCAGCAGAAGAAACAAAACTTAGCAGTCAGCATCTCTAAAAGACAACCGTGGAGCAATCCTGTCAAACTCGTAAGGGAAAGTCTTTACATCTAGAGTTCTATGAAACTCTAACCATTCTCAGTGCTATCAAGTTAATTCTGACTCATAGCCACCCTGAAGTGCAGAGTAGAACTGCCCCTGTGGGTGTCTGAGACTATAAACCTTTGGAGTAGAAAGCCTCATCTTACTCCTGCAGAGCGGTTGGTGGTTTTGAACTGCTGATCTTAGAGTTAGCGGTGCCATGTATACATTATCAGGCTCCTATTTGAATTCTATATCCAAACTAAACTATTAAGTGCTGGAAGAGAAATTTTAAAGTGGATGTCTCATATACTTTTCATCATGGTGTCTGCTGGTGAATGCATGGAAGTGAGCCCGAAAGTAACAAGAGAATTGTTGAGGGTTGTCCAAAGACACAAGCCAGTGCATTGTACATATACAAAGGGGTTTCTATCAAGGATTGGCTCTTGAAGTTACAGAGACGGGCAAGTTCCTAGTCCATGGGTCAGACATTAGGCTGGAGGCTTTGCCAGTCTCCCGTAGCTACGGAGACTGATAGCCCCAAGGCCGAGAGGTCAGACCACAGATTTTTAGTTTCAGAGGCAATGCATGTAAGGTTGGCAGGTTAGATAACAGGCTGCTGAGGACTCCCAGGATCAGAAGTCAATACAGCAGGCTGCTGGCTCAAGTCTAAAGAAGTGGCAGTCAGTGAGTGATTGTATGCAAGATCCAGACCCAGCAGAAGCAAGCAGATTTGTCCACAGCGTCTACTTATATTGGACAAAGGCCACACTGGGAATTACATCATAGAGGATTACTATGTCTTAACTCCCAAACCACTGAGAATCCTGGCCCAGTCAAGTTGACACAAACCTTAACTTTCCCAGTAGCCAACATGAGAAAAAGAGGGAGGCAATGAAGCAGTCTCGGGGCTACAAAGGTGCAGCAAACCTAGAGAGTGACTAGTTCAGACTGGAGCGGCCCAGATGGCTGTTAGAGATGGCATCCAAAAAATGAACTTTTACCAATCACAGTGATCAATGCATAATACCCCCCTACCCTCCAGGGAGATGAACAACAGAAACGTGGGTGAAGGGAGACAGTGATCGGTGTAAGATACGAAAACAATAATTTCTAATTTATCAAGGGGGCGGGGGAGGAGCTGATACCAAGGGCTCAAATAGAAAATAAATGTTTAGAAAATGATGATGGCTACTCATGTACAAATATGCTTGATATAGTTGTGTATGGAATGTTTTAAGAGCTGTGAGACACCACCCCCACCCCCGAATAAAGTGATTTTTTTTTTTTAAAAGAAAAGGGAACAAGAGATCTAAAGTCAATGGCAAGGAGGGCATAGAATGCCTGGTGGGATTTGATCAAGTTCAGTGTAGCCAAGAGGAAGCACAGAGAACCGAAAAAAGGTCAAACATGATAATGGGACAAGAAGAAAGTAAAAGGAAAAAGAGGAAAGAACTAGGAGGCAAAAGACATTTATAGACGTATAAACATAGGCAGGTACATATGCAAATATATTAATATATAGTGATAGGGATATAGATCTATGCACATATATTTATAGGTTAAGTATTAAGGTAGCAGATGGACATTGGGTCTCTACTCAAGTCCTCCCTCAACAGAAGAACACTTTGTTCTAATAGCCTGGCATTCTGTGATGCTTGCCTTCCCAACACGATCGCTGAAGTCAAAATGGGTGCATATACAAATGTGTTGGAGAAAGCTGATGGTGCCCAGCTATTACAAGGTACAGTGTCTGGGACCTTACAGACTTGAAGTTAAACAAGCGGCCATCTAACAGGGAAGCAACAAAGCCCACATGGAAGAAGCACACCAGCCTGTGTGATCAGGAGGTATCAACAGGATCAGATACCAAGCATCAAAAGACCCAAAACAAGCAATCATAATGATGTGAATGAGGTGAGTCGAAGTGGAGACCCAAAGTCCATCTGTAGACAATGGAACATCCCCTCACAGAAGGGTCACAAGGAAGGGGTGAACCAGCCAGGGTGCAGTATAGCACCAACGAAACACAGCATTCCTCTAGCTCTTTAATGGTTCCTCCAGCCCACTCTCCTGATTCCATGATCCCTAGACTGGAGCATGTACACTGGTAAGAGCTCTGGACTCATGGAATCCAGGACAGATAAACTCCTCAGGAACAATAATGAGAATAGTGATACCATGAGGGTGGGGGGAGAAAGGGGGAACTAATCACAATGATAGACTTATGACCACCCCCGGGGGCGGGAGATGAACAATAGAAACTTG